CCACATAACAGGAAACTGAATCTCTTTGAGTTCTACTCATTGTGTTTAGTGTACAACAGTTTAATCTAGGAACCATCCTATGAACAAAAACTGTCTAAGGAGGGTGGCACTGATAGATTACCATCCAGTAATCCAATTAGGCCACTTCTAGAAGGTCCACTTCCTTGAAAGAACTAGAATGAAATTCACACTTAACCCTGTAAAGACGTCCTACATTAAGAAATATATCAGAATTTTGCTATATGTTAACTCCTCAGCTAAATGTGTTGCTCTTTGATCTACCTAATTAAACTTGGAATCAAAGTAGTTTCATGAGAGGAAACTAGACAGTTCCGTTTTTAGTTTGGCTGTGATATATTCTAATCATCTTACATTCCAAAAGCTTCTGTGGCATTGGCCTCGGAGTCAGTGCTGTGAAAGGTGGCTGCAAACGTGCTTCACGAGCAGCAGGCGCTCCCTGTGCAGTACCGAGTAAGAGATATTTCTCCCCATTCCCTCGCCTCTCCAGTGGGGAGACCACCACCTCCCTGAACCCACCTTGCAATGTCTTCAGCAGATCTGAAGAGATAAGGTGTTGCTAAAGTGCTCTGAACACACACATGCACACACACACTGCTCAAAATTAAGTGTTACAGTACTAAATTCTAGTATTGTCTACCTCAGTTATAAGGATCCTGATTTTTGAAGTGTTCATAATTTATATCAAGGAGATAATTGGGTAAGTGCAGATATTATACAGAAGGATATTGAAACTAGTTTTTTAAGAGTGAAAAACTGGAAAGAATCTGAATGAAAACTGTAAACCACTTCAGTTCCAGCAACGGGGACTTGTTTACATCTGCACAGACCAGCCCTTACAAAAGATGCTGTTAGCATGGGTAACGTACTGCATGCTGCCAAGGACAAAGACGTCTAAACAGACGATGATCAGAATATTAACAATAGCGATAGTGAACTTTGCTCTTTTAATTTTCTGTACCATTTGAAAACTTTTACAAATCATGTTTTTATGAGAAAAAGTTTTCTGCAAAAATGGTATTGAGAGACAGAAGAAATTATTACTAACCACCTTCTCTTCCATTCCTCACTTGCCAGATTATAAACAGAACTACAAGAGCCAAAGAATCTTTGCCATACTCAGTGGACGCCCCCACATGGGCCCCTGCTGCCTCTACTCAGCATGAAACGGGGTCCTCCGTGATCTGCCCCATTTTAATCTGCCTTAAGTTTGACCTTGCTCACCCTTGCCTGCTTTAGCTCCTAGTGTTCCCTCAGCCTGGCCTGTCTTCCTAATGCCCCCTTATGACACACGGCCCATACTTTAGTGTCATATTTTGCCATAGAGTCCAGTTTATGGCCATGTCTACCTCCACAAACAATGTCATGGAGACACCATTTGGGCTGGGAAAAGAAAAATTCTACGCAGGAAGAATGACAGTAGCAAAAACAAGAAGGAATGTGAATGAGTTACGAGTGGCTGGAAAAGCAGTAAACAATTGTTGGACATTTTCCAGTATTTCATTTTCTCTTCCTCAGATAAATCTTGTCGGTAAGCTCCAATTTATATAAACATCATCTTTGTCGAAGCTTATTTTCGAAATGAAATCTACTCTCATCTTGCTGTTTAAAAACTGAGACCTGCTCTTCTATTCCGCACTGCGTCCTGAGCACATTCTCTTATCCATTTATTCTACATATGATGATTTCCTTGAGTCTGCTAGAATGTAAATTCCATGCTTTGTGTAGTTTCTCAAGAGCCTGGAACAGAGTAAGCATCCATCAATATTCGCAAAAATAATTTACTGAAATGCCACATCCAACTATACCATGCTTCTCAAGTTCCCCTACCGAATAGCTTTTGGAGAAAATTATTTTGATATAGAGTCTCATACTGAAAAAAAGTAAGAGAAAGAAGAATGGCAAGTGACAACTTCCAATTGTTGGGAAATGTCTTTTTCATTCAGCAGAATCTCAGGATGTGAGAAACTGCCCACTCATAATTTGATATCCACCTAGGTACCAGTGTATTTGTGTGCTAACATTTCATTTGTGCAAATTCAAGTTCCCATCAACAAGAGGAAGACGAGGATGCAAACCGAACTGGAAGAGGCAAGATTTACCGTGCAGTTGTCAGCCCTGACTTATTTGTCATAAAAACATAGTGATAAGCCAACTATACCCGTACCCTAGTCCAGTATTTGTTGCACTTTAAGGGTTTTTACCTCCTCGCTGTGCCACTCCCCTTCTATCACCTTTCTGATTTGGGCTCTACATTTCAAGTCTTTAAGGTGGTCATCAACTTCACCATCAAGGGGAGCCAGAAAGATCCGAAGGGCAGGAGACTAGGCATGGAAAGGCGAAAGGGCTTTTAGAATCTTTTGCTCCATTCAGACCAAATTTACTATATTTTGGTCAGAATTTAGGACTTATTTAGAATACTGAGTACAAAATTAGAATTCTAAGTCAGCTGCCAATGGCAATTTTTTAGAGGGAATGGCAGCCACTGAATTAGCCCTACTTCTTAATCTCAATTTTAACAGACAAATCTAAAAAATAAAATCTAGAAGAAGGAACGATAATCTGCTACAATGACTTCCTGGAAGGATGTTCTTAAAAAACCAAACAGGTATTTATTGCTTAGATGGTAGATGTGAAAAGCGACACTCCAACACCTGCCTTAATTGTCCTAAGATCATCAAGAAAGTCAACTGCTCAGAAACTCAGTCCTGCCACTCAGCCCCTAGATCA